CCACAGGTGCAGGAGCTAGAAGAGCTCGTGCTTGAGCTGCAGCGGGAGCTTCGGGAGCAAGCGGAAGCGCGAGATGGGGTACCTATGAGGGAGATGGTCGAGAGCCGCTGGCCGGGGAATGACTTAGAACGCGAAAGAAGAGGGGTCGGGGATGGGGGTAGTGTAGCTATGTCGAGCACGGTGGCAAGTTAGTGCCCAAACTTGGCCTAAACGCTGCCAAAAAGTGTACACTCATGCCAAGCAATCTTAGAGACATGGGTTTGTTTCGTACGCGCAGAAGATGGGACCATCTGTCAGCAGGACGACACTCAAAAGTCATTTCGACTCATGATCGTTATGCCATCGAATACGCTTCCAAGGCGTTTGTATCTCATGTATAAGGGATAGTGGTCTTCGACATCAACACGCCTCCTCGTTCCTTACCGCACCACCTCCAAGTTGTCTGTGTCGGCGCCCACTTGGCAGATCTACAACCCATTTTGTGGCCGGTTATATCCCCCGAACTTCCGGGACTATTTCATGCAGTGGCCAGATTCTATCGCGTCGTTCATGGGGAAACTTGACGACAACCAACTATATACTCCGGTAATCGCAAAGTCCTGCCGGCACCTTCAGATCATCCCTACGTGCCCCCCAACTTAATCGATTGGCTTCAAATTTTGAAAGCAGCTAGAACCAGTTCAAACTTGTACACATCGGTGAAGGTGCTTCGGAGTGTCCTTGACTCGTCACTGTCCAACCTCTTTTCTGGATCCTGTTTCAAAGTCGACCTCTATCAATGCCCGCAACTTGATATAAGCGGGCATATATACCGGTCCACATGCTACCCCACTTACTTTGTCGACGAAATTCCAGCCTTATCATACACGGATCGTCTTATCATACACGGATGCGCGGTTGTGCCATAGCCTTGCTCATGCAAAGAGCAATCCATTACACCATGGCTCCAGCAACTGGGGAAGATAGCTCCTCTCGGGGGCACGAGATCCGGTCGTCTCCCGGATCCCATAGAAAGACGCCGTGATGCTGAGATAAAATGTGTAGACAGGAAAGTGAGATCAATAGATTTCGAATGAAGGCGAGAATTACAGAAAGGAGGTACGACGTGACGAGTCTGTCTAGGAGAGACTAGGCGAGAATGAAAGAACGAGAAAATCAAAATCAAACTAAGAGAAACAGGAACGACGTATCGTGGGCACGCGATGGGGCAGGGTTGATGGCTTGATATAGAGGAGCGCTGTACTCGAGGTAGCTGTTGAGGTGGAGGCGGCTGTGGCACGCGGGAACCTGGCGAGAACAGAGACTTAGGAAGTGAGATGCTGGTTGACCGCAAGTAAGATTCGATGCGCCATTTGAAAGGTTGGGCGGACACCTGTATATATTACATGCTATAGCTAGTGACAGAACATGAGCATGAACTCGAAAAGAGGTACGAAAGTGACGTATGTGATAAGATAAGGTGTCGGGAAAGGATCAGAACAATCTTGGACCGGGAATAACTCGGGGGAGCTCAGCGACGGCAGTGGCCCCAGCAAACCCAATTTGACAGACCTAGGTGTCGCGAGCCTCAATCTTACCATCCAGTCATCAATGTGTCCATCCCCAACCCTTAGTCCGACTGAAACGTGAAGAATAAGGTGATCGTACGTGAAGAAAAGAAGGTAGGGTAAAGCAGTGCTGAAACCCATACGTATAAAAGCCCAGCCTCAATACGCGTAGTTGTTTTTGAAATGTAATCGAGCCGGCCAGGGCTCATACACGTGTAGGTCAAACATAGCTAGCCGCAAGTAACGTAGAAATCTGTAAAGGAAGACAGAGATATCAGCTTTGCGTATGGGGGCGGGCATATGACAGGGTTGTGCATGTCACATCATTAAAATAAACAAATGTTAGCGAGAACGGAAAACCCGGCAAGGCTGGTGTTTCCTGAATAAGACACCCAGCCCTACCACACCTCTTGGCTTGACTTGGGTGGTGTGAACACCTGTGAGGACCAAATGCGAAGCGATCGGCAGTTCCATCGACCAAGGCGGCGTATCAATTGTTTCAATGTTTACAACTTGTTTACAACGTCGAAATTCCTGGACCTGGTTTCGACCTCGACCTCGCAGTCATTTTGCAGTCATTTTGCGACCGTTTAAAGGATGAGATCTGAGAGTTCTAACGATGTCCTTGCGATATCCCCTCTTCAGTCCTATCCAGCTCCGGGCCTCTCCCCCACTCATTAGTCACTGTCCTCTCTAAGTTTGGGCATGCTTCGAACAAAAAATTTGGCCCTTCTTGGTGCTATCGTCGCGTCGATCCTCCAGCGTTCTTCAGCGCAAACGAGTGGTCTGTTTACTTGGAAGTTTAGCAATGTGCGTAGTCTTCAATCGCTCCTGTAAAAAAATTCCTTAACCCGTTGGTGGTTTTCAGGCCGTTAGCGAGAGCATCACGGAATGCGACAGCCTACCTGTAACCCTGGGTGCAGCGGGAACGGCTCCATACTACATGATTGCGTTTGCGGTCGATGGAACTCCCTCGACGAGTTTAATAGGGTCAGATAGCAGTCGCCTTGCGTGGGTCGTGGATCAACCTGCTGGTGAGTGACAATCAGCCTTGCAAAGATGTACATCTTCTCAACACTTTTATTTTCCCCTGGAATCGCAGGCAGCAAGCTCCTGCTCAATGTCGTTGACTCTACTGGGAGCTCGGGAGGCACCTCGGCCATTCTTTATACTGTCACATGCACGTCACCCTTGAATATTCTTGTAAAAGCTGTTCTCATGTATTGCCATTTCACAGCTGGCCAATTGACGAGCTGTCTTCCCAAGAACGCCGCTATCGGATTCTCAGTCAGTTCCAATGCTACTGGCGGTGCAATCTCGACCTGCGACCCCTGGGGACTCACGATCAAGGGAGGACAATCGCCCTATACAGTGACTCTGGCTGCAGTGGGATCTCCCTCCATCACCAACGTCACAATGAATGCCGGGGACAACCTCTATACTTACATCAACCGCGCAAGCCCCAGCGGTGCGATTTTAGGTACGTTGTGTATTGCGTGACCTGACTATAATGCTGATCTAGATCTGACCTAGCTGCGATTAGTGACTCGTAAGCTATGCCATGAGTACTCTGCTTTGCATACCTAATATTAACGTGATCAGAACTGGCAAGTGGGCGAGTGGTGCGCCGTATGTCAAAACAAAAGGTCCCTACACCCCAAAATCACGCATGTTCCCTGTTAAACCTCTTTTTCAGGGTCTTCGGTCACAGAATGCAGAGGAGCTGCTAGCTCTAGCGGAAAAGTCACCATAGACAACACGGACAATACAAGCACATCCAAGTCTAATACAAGCACATCCGAGTCCTCTACAGTGACAACACCCAACAGCAAAAGCACAACGACATCGGATAGTCACTCATCGCCTGTTTCAACAGACACACTAAGCCCGAGCACAGTCGTTACGCCCATCAGCAGCGGTACGCAAGACAGTTCCCCATTTCTGCATTCTACCTAACTTTACTCACCCGGATTCTGTGTCAGGTACCTCGGCTGCCGCTACTCCGACCCAATCGAACGGAGGTGCAGCGTTCCGCAGTTGCTCCGCCTTTTCTGTGATAGCCGCCGGTCTTGTAATGATGAGAGTTCTCGTTTAGCACCAATAGGCTTGTTCACTTGTAAGGCCTAGTCAACCAATAAGATATACATCTCCTAGGCTGAATACAGGGCCAACTAGAATGTTTTATAGACTGCGCCCCATCGAGCCAAGTCAGGATGCTCACATCAAATACTGGTTCCTTCATATCAGACTTCGTACTAGTGGCGCGGGTCAACTGATCTACTGTTCCAATTGTCGACGCAGGGAAATTAAGTGGCTGTGGGCTCGCAGTGGCCCATACCACCCGGTGGTTGGTCAAGGGTGCAGCATCCCATGCGTCGAGGCCATTTCGGGTTGGTATCACTGGCATTGGTGTGGGCGTAAACAATAGGTTAGGTAGGTGCCACCTGTGGCCCCACTTCGTGGCAGCCTTCAGCATTCCATCTACAGTCTAGCTTCAACCCAGAAACCAATTTGGCTTTGTCTATCAAGTTGCCTCATCGGCCGCCGCACAGTAATGTGTCTCGACGTTAACGCTCGTTACTTCAGGCTGGTCGCGTTCACAGACTAATTACCCGTCAAGTATAGGGTCTGGCCTCAAATCCTATAAATTCGACACCCCTCAAGATGTTGCTGGCTCGACCCACTCGTCACAAAGCATTCTGATATGGCATCTACAGACTCTTCTCTCGTCGCTTTTTACAAGCAAGTGTACGCATCGAATACCACTCCCGAAGCCGTCACTTTCGAGCAGGTCATCTCCCCCACTGGCTCCTACAACACCAATGGGATGTTCTTTGGTGAGCCAGGCTTCATGATGCAATTTGGACAACTCACTGAGGCTATTGACAGATTATACCGCGTATCAAGGCATCAGCGACTTGTTCTTCGACGCTTACAGCAATGTCAAGGTAATAACATCGGATGTCTACTCCTCGATCAATGACCAACATCACGACAGTTAGAATTTACTGAGTTCGTCGAGGTGCCCAAAGTCAACGGAAAGGAAGGAGAAGGCACAGTCGCAGCTGCTGTCCACTGGTATGGTGATTACAAGGAAGGGTATGCTTCAACTCGGTGGCCAGCTCAATAAATATCTGACAATTGTCTATTTCAGTGGACGCGATGAATTCCGTTCGCATGTGAGTACTTACCAGTGCCTCCCTTCCGCGAGTGGTGCTTATGCTACATGTCATCGCATAGGCTATCATGCATATCGAGCTCGTGGACGGCAAACAGATGGTCACACAGATATTCGAGATCACTGACTACCAGGACACGCACAACATGTTCCCGTGGCTCACTGGCAAGGCCGGAACTACTGAGGAGAACTAGCCTATGTAGATAAGTGACTATGTATTTCAATTATGTGTTAGCTCCTGTTATCTCAGTTTCCTTAACGAAATCATGTCTAACACACCGATGGTGAAGCGGTTATCATGCTTGCCTTCCATTCAGATCGGTAGCAAGCGGCAGGGGTTCGACTCCCCTTCGGTGTATGTTTTGTCCCTCCCTCCTGTGCTCCTGTTGTGAAGGTTCTTTTCTGTCATTTGGAATCCAGCGTTTCGACCTTTTCGAACAAAGCATTAGAATATTTGAGCACACCTATTACAGCCTTGACAAACTGTAAGCATGCCAGAGTCGGCCCGGAACCATGTGATATCATACGACCGTCGTCGTCCAAAAAAAAAAACTGATTTCCACGAAATTGTCATAACGACCCCGCACTTTCTCAACCTACAAATACAACGATGCATCGCGTTCTTTACTCATTCTTTGGTTCCCCCTTTTCCCTTCTTACTGAACTTTGAAGTTCCAGGACTGCGTCCTCCATTCATTCATTCCTCTTGGCCTGTATCTTTCTTGCTCGATCACTCCACTAACTTCTAAGCACTTCCACCGTGATGCTCTTCCGGTCTTTCCTTGTTCTTTCCCTTGCGGCTCTCGGCCTATCAGGCGAGCGCTCTCAAATATGTCTTGCGCAGTGGACAATTGCTGAGGCCGCGCCTTTTCATAGCTCCGATCCTCCGACGCGCAAATCCATGTTTCGTGACAGGGAGTGTCGCTCTTCCAGCAGAAGTCGCTTCCGGTCTCGCTGCGCTCTCTTCAGTAACATGTAACACCTCTGTCAGTACCCGCTAGCGAGTGGAAACATGTCCATCCTTCTCACCAAGTATCCAATATCTTTGCAGGTCGAAGTCACACCTGGCGTGCCAGACGTCATTTCCGGAGGCATCGCGTACAGCACGATCGACTTCCAGAAGTCCAAGAGCTCGCCAGTCGGGTTTGCACTACAAAAGTTTGCCACGCCGGCCGACCCCGCAGACGCAGACCTCGCGACGCTGCAAAACCAGTTGAACGTGTACCTAGCTGTAGAGGCTGGCGTTAGGGTACGTTGTGATTGACTCACTCACCTGTAGCATTGAATATTCATTAATTGACCCCATACGCAGTCCCAGCCGAACTCGAGTGCCTTCTTGGCAAAGCTGAAGGGAGCAAAATTCTTCCTCCAGTTCCAAATTGCCCGTGTACAGACCGCCCAGGGTGTTGTGCTTCCCGTCGCGGACACCGTTGAGCATCAGCTTGGGAAGGTGACAAAGGTTTGTCGTTCGATCGCTTTGTATCCAAACGTCGTCTTACCATTTGCTTGTACGCGCAGAATGCAGTAGGCGCGTCCGTAGCGGAGGTAGCGCAGGTCACAGCGCTTTCAAAGGTGATATAGCAAAACCTCGATAAATGAATGTCCTTGGTAGCGTGACGGGAACTCTAAAATGGATTATACAAGACGTGCAGAATAAATTAGACAGAATGTCCTGTGGTTTCTCGCATTGAGTCACGGCGTTATGGGAAGTGTTCCTCCAGCATGAGATGGCATGTCCTGTGGTGTCGCGTCGTGTAGCAGTTATGAAAACTGTTTTTCCACCCATTGGCGGATTTGGATCATGACCTCCCGCTTGACGGCTAATGGGAGGGAAGCTAAATAGGTTCGGGTGAGGAACTGGATGAGCCATTACATTAGATCTCACCCTGCGATTGAGAAGAATATTCTTCAAACAGGCCTGGAAAGGACAATGGCTCCATTTCTCGAGCGCGCTCTAAAGGCAGAACATTGAGTACTTGGCCACAAGCAAGTGTCAAGGCTAACCTTTACTACGGTTCCGCAGGTCGTCAGACCATCCCGCTTCATTGAGCTTGGACGCGAGGATAAACCTGATCCTAAATTTAAGCGCGAATGAGAAAGCAGACATGCATGAAGAGGTTCACTCACCGTTCCCATTCGCCACTGTCTATGAGACGCTGCTGAAGTTGTGAATAGAGAGAGTCAACTTCCAGAGGTGTCGTCGGCATCGCGACCAGTTGAATGGAGGCGGGCCTCTCTCAGTAGCATGTAATTGGACCAAGTCAGGCTAACAATGGCTCCTGGTGTCTCCGAGCCGTCCGGAAGCAGCGGAACAGTAGTTCCTCGAGACTATGAACCCTATAGTCTTAAGGTTGGTCTCATAGTCATCTATAACTGAGAGCCGAACTTACCAGGTAGGTTCAATGCGTTGAAGTAGAACAAGTGGTGGCGGTGTCCTCGGAATTAGAGCAGAGTCACGTGGTGGTGTGAAGGCCTTACGTTTTCAACTTTTGCTCATCGTTCGCGACGACGTCCTCAGCTGACGTCCAACCATCATGGCTACTCCAGAGAATGACCCCTTCTATCTGAGGTAAGACTCAATATGTTCTATGCAATGAAGATATACTTATTATTCCTCTCTATATCAGATACTAGTACGTTTTGAATCCGCCAGCAGTTGAACATTTTCTGACCATGTTGCAGTACTGGCCACTCAGGAAAGCATGGCCACGAGTTCCTGGAATTTGAGTACTCGCATGGCCGTCTGCGATATGCCAACAACTCGAACTACCGCAATGACAGTCTTATCCGCAAAGAAAGTGCGTGGTCACTTCCGCGTTATTTACACGAGCATCGTTGACTCTCATAATCCTCAATAGTGTGGGTTGGGCCTCTAGTTGTCAAGGAGCTCAAGCGGATAGTGGAGTCGAGCGAGATCACCAAGTAAGCTAAGCCATCGGCATTGTTGGAACCAGCGTCCTGACACGCCTGCCTACAGGGAAGACGACACGAACTGGCCGAAAAAGAACATTGTCGGAAAGCAAGAGCTTGAAATTCGAGTTGGAAATGATCATATCGCATTCGAGGTACGTTTATGTGTGATCTTAGGCTTTTCAATTCTCATCCACCTCCGCTTCAGACAGCAAAAATTGGAGCTCTCGTGGATATCCAAGATAGCGAGGACCCAGATGGACTTCGTGTCTTCTACTACCTTGTTCAGGATTTGAAGGTTTGCCTTCAGGATTGCTGTCGCATTGGCTTGCACTCAGGACGTTATTTTAGTGCCTCATCTTCTCGCTTATCTCGCTCCACTTCAAGATCAAGCCCATATAGCCCGCTTCCTGCTGTGAAACTTGTAAGTGGAAGTGGGAGGTTTTTTCAAATTTTCGGACTGTGGGGCGACGGCACGATGTCACCTTCTCTAATGTAACTACCTTCGCGTCCAATTCTTCATGGAAGGTTTAGCTAACATTTTATGTTACACGCTTTCCTAGCCCAGCCTGCCACGTCCGCATCTCATCAAGAAAGCGTTTAGTTTGTGTACTAGGTATGCCGTTCTTGATCCCCAGCAGATCTTTTGTCTGAGCCATCCCGCAGCTACCTTGTCCTTAAATATATCATAACTTTTGTATCTTGCTGTGATGTTCCATGTAGTAAATCTCTTGTCTCGCTCATGGAGCGATTCCATACGCTGTGGATGTTGAAGCTTTGCACCCCAATTGAGTGAGGCCATTCTTTGAACGGATCTGTTTTGTAGACTCGCCTGTCTGGTACTTTTCAAACTTCACGAATCGATTCAGAGACCAATTGTTCAAATTGAATGAACTGGACTGCTCTCTTATACCTGAATGAGTTGCGCGTAACAAGCCTTGGACCTCCTGTGCTGCCGTCGTTCTTAGAACTTGCAGGAAATGCATTGACCGGAAGGTCGTTGATGTTGATGAATTTCAGATCAACATGGGTAAATCCGTCTTGGTTTCGTACTCCCATCTACAATTGCATTTTGATCATTCAGCCAGAGCATGGACCGTCCTCGTCGTTCTACACGACCGCCAGCACGTCTGACAGAAACACCAGCCCCAGCTCCAACTGTGTCGACGCGACCAAAACGAAAAACAACGCAAGATGTAGTCATCGATCCTGCTGAACAGCTGCACACCCTGCTCACCAATCCAAAGAGCGCACTGACGAGTCTCGACATCTCTGTACGTCTTCAAATGCCCTTAACCACCTCCTGGACTTGTACCTACGTGCCTCCCAGGATGTCGAGTCGCTCAACGCGTTTCGCAGGATCTCATAAACGCTATGTCCTGGAATATGCTTTCCGCCGAATCACAGACTAGTTTAAAGGCCTTGCTACCAGCAACCGCGTTCCTTTCATACAGAGCTACCATTAGCTCGGACCACCCCTCTGCTGTGGCAAATGATTCCATGGCCGTTGACGAGCTACCTGTACACGAATCTGTTGTTGACACAGCAGTGTTCACGGATCCACACTTCCTTGCTGCGGCTCGCACATTACAGGATCACATATACTCGGGCTGGATGAGCAATGCTCATACACAAAAGCTGCTCAAGTATGAAGAGGGACTACGCAATGGCACACTGGCCGTTGCGTGGAAAGATGACGTGTGGGAGCGCAACAATGGTGGCTCACGCCGGGTTGTGCAAGCACACGACAATGGCGTAGTTCCCGGGGCTGCGAGAGCGGGGTACGTGCATCAGCCCCGCCTGAGATAACCTCAAACTAATGTTCACTAATAGCGATGCTGCGGAAGTGAAGCTAGTTACACTCGCACAAGAGGGTGTGCTACAAGTGGGCGACATCATCGTGTTGAAACGCAATTTCTCTGCACTCGATATCCTTGTCGAAAAGGACGCCATCGTACGTTCCCCTCTCACCTTCTTTTCGCCATCTTACATATAAACCTACAGATCCAATCCATACACCCCAAAACCCATGCTCTCAGTGTCCTCTTCGAACCAGGCACTTCCGCCCACCTACCCGCCCCTCTCCTTTCACCAAACCCTTCTCCTCCTATCGGGCACACCCAGGAGACGGTCATCACTAGCCCTACTCAGCTGGAAACTGTGCTGCTGGACAACGACGGCCGTGTCGAACGCAAAAAACGCCCGAATGGCAATGCGTGGAAGTGTATGACTGTCTGGCGGTGGCGGGGCACTGCGCCTTGGCAAAACGTGGGGGATGGCAGGTGGGGGCGGGAGAACCATGGGACTTTGTTTTATCTCAGAGGAACTTACCACCACGAACGATGAAACATATGTTCAGTCTGTCTGTTATGCATTTCATTAATGTCACGTTAAAAATTTGCATGAAGCTGTTCGACGTTTTTATATCATATATCAGGGGCTGTAATT